CCCCAAAACCCCAAAACCCCAAAACCCCTTTCAGGGTAATTTTAATTGAAATTTCAGAAGAGACAAAGAATAAACATGCACAAAAGTGTTCATCTGTAAGGAATTAAGACTTTACAATGGATGATGAGAAAATAGATCCAATTTTTGTGTCTTAGATGGGTTCTTAGGTTCCATTAAGTTGAGTTTAGGATGAATAAGAATAAAAACAAAGATATTTTCACAAGATTGATGAATTTTGGGCAGGCTGAAGGTAATGCTAGTAAATGAGATTTATAGAGCTGAAAAAGCAAAGAATCTTTCGTAAAAATCATCAATTAAAGTAAGGAATAGTACCAATCTCCAATTGGAAAATTATTTCTTCAAATAATTATTAAGACTTAGTCTCGAAAATTTCTTATTATAGGTTTCAAACTAAAAGTTACACGAAAAGAAAGGAGAACACTCCTTCGAGGGAAAATGTTAAACTAATGATTCCGTCTATCCTTTCTGATACTGTACCAAAATGAGGGCCTAGCTCACCAAGGAGTAAAACCATAGATGTCAAAGAAAAAGGGGATCTCTACTCATTAGTAGCTTTATATCACGGTATTTTTATTCATAAAACTTTCATAACTTTGGGTAGGTGTAGGAAATTCTCCTCCAAAGCATTACAAAGTTAAGCCAAAAAGCAACATGAAATTCCCGCGAATCAGTGAAGGAAGCAAAATACAGCTTGTTTCCAAAATCACCAATGGCAAGGTGGGGCTAACGTCTAAAATTTAGAGAATAAAGTCTAAACCAAAATCAGTGAATAAGGTATCTGGCCTTGATCACGAGTAGATCTACCACCTCAAATCTTTCGAAAAAGGCTCTTCAGAGAGCATCAAAAAGCGTAAAAATATTAAGAGGATGACTAAGAAACAAAAGAGTCAATTGAGTTCAACAGTCAATGGTATCATATATGATAACATCTCAAATAGAACTGTTCCCTAGATATACTCATCAAGTAGAGGATAAAGAGACTGCCAATTTATCTAACAGGAAACTCATTTCAGCATCTTTAGACATGTCCATATCTAAATCTAAAAACAAAAGTCTTTACACTTAGCAGGTACATTAAGAACAAAGCTACTCCAGTACATGACCCATGTTCAAAGCCTGGGATGTCTCTGAGTAGTCTTACAGCCATAGAACTAGCTGAGAGTATTTATTGCTTAAAATTTCTAGAGGTTCGGAGCCAAACCAAACCCATAGAGAAAAAGCATTTATTTCACAAGAAGTCGGGTAGGGAGAGTTTTAAACTCTGTAGAGTCTCAAGTTAGTACTTACAGGACACCCCTATCCAAATCTAAGCAAGCTTTTGACCAGGATAATGGCTTGTACATTCTTGTGAGTACTTTTGGTTATCGTTTTAGAGAGAATCAATGTATAACAAGTACTACAAAAAGCCTTGAGATTCCCCCAAATCAACCAGACTCACAACAAATAGAAGAGTCAGGCCTAAGAGTAGAGTTATCTGAGGCTAAATTCTGTTTAGATATCACTAGGCTACAACTAAGCAAGCCAAATTTAACAGAAAAGGGAATTTTATCCTTCTTTATGAACAAAGTTTAGAGCAACTATCAGAAGTCAGCGGATAAAATAATTGATTGTTAAACAACATTCATGAGAAAAATAGATATAATTCTGATAAATCACATGAACCAAATAACTTCGAACATATTCATAGCTACTTATCGCTCTTTTTTAATTGCAACCTTATCTATCTTTCCTAGAGGAAAATATCTTAACTTCATCCGCTACCTTAGAGGGTCCAGAGTTTGCTAAACTCTGTTAATAAGGGAACTTACAGGACTGCATAAGATCTAGTTGTATAAAATATAAATTCTAGAATCTTTTCCACACTCTAAGTGTGTTGGGACAGTATATGTGCACAATGTGTACTGCTAGATATAATCTTGAAATTTCAGAATATTGTAAGAAACAACCAAATACCATTTGATGTGCACAAATGGAAGAATTGAATCACTGTAATTAGAAAGTGGCTATGAATAAACAGTTATATTAGCCAATTAATCCATTATTACTTGTTCCCAGTTATCTCTCATTTTTAACTAAATTAACTTTAAGGGTTTGTACAGGGTGTCTACTTGTTCTGTTAAGGTGCGATCTTACTCTATACTATTGGATCTAAAGAATAAAAGAACCCATTAGATGATGAAGGAGTTATTCATGTTCTCTGATTGTTAACTTAGCTTCTTGATTTAGAATTTCCAATAATAAAAGAACATACAGGTTTCGGTTAAAAGATTACTTGGGAGGAGTAGATACAACAATAGAGTTACCACATGTTCAGAACGTTCAAGATATTTGGCAGACCCAATAGCCAAGTGGTGGTTTTTGGGAATAATAGAAACCATACTGCTTTCAATAGCGCGACAACTGCTAGGGGTTTTGGGGTTTTGGGGTTTTGGGGTTTTGGGGTTTTGGGG